TTAAAGGGCTCACCACTTCCCACATTGCCACACTGAAGACAAAGCTTCTAACACCACATAAATCCGAGGAATGAGCCATGTCTGAGAGATAGCACAATGAAAGGAAAGCATTATCTTCTAGCAAGGGAAGAAGACCATTTCTGCAGACCTATTGGCTTAAGGGAACATGTAGGTTCAAAGGCTGCATTTACTGCTACTGCTACCAGGGACCATTGCAATGCCATCATGATCCTCATGTCAGCTCTCCAGAATATGGTCCAACTCTTGTCTCCTGCATTTCTCTGTATACCAACTGTCTTGAGTTAAACTCCCTAGACTCAGAATCTGGTCAGTGATTGGATGACAGGAAAATATTCCAATGTAAAGGAAGGACATGGAAGGGGAAAGATAGAGCAAGAGTTTGGAAAGTCCAGCCTGAGTTTGAGCCTTTTATTTGGAAAATTTTACTCTACCAACCTTGGCCTGATTAATACTTTTGAGAGTCATCATTCTCTTTCAGATGATTCACTGACCTTGGCCTTGGCTGCATTTTCCTTCTGTGTGACTTTTAATGGCTGGCAATAAAATTGCCTTTCTATTTTTTACTTACTTGAGAAGAGGAAAGAAAAAAGAGTCCAAAAACAAACATGACACATATGTCTAAACACATACACACATAAACTCTCCAAATGATTATCATATATTCACAGCCCTACTCCAATATCCTTACTGTCCAATAGCCTAATGGTACTCAATTGTAGGTACACATTATAATTCTAAGCATCTATAAAAAAATATTGATGCATCCAGATTTAATTGGAGGTTTTAAAAAAACAACACTTAGATCATTCTAATGTGCAATTGGGATTAAGAACTATACTACACTAGGCTATGACATTCATATGACAAACCTCTAATACAATTCCTCTAGAAATATTTCCAGGGCCTGCCTCAGTATCTGCAGTAGGCACAAAATAAATACTGAATACATGATTTAAAGAGGTAAACTGACCAGTGTAATTTATCTCTGTTTATGGCAGGATCTGACATTTAGCACTATTAAATCACATAATAGTCAATCCAAGTTAGTTTTCCATTTCAATGATTAAAATTTTCTCCAGAAACATGATGCACAGAGAATCCTGTCTCAACTAGCTTCAGTAATATCACAGAAACTCCTTACCTTCCCTGGCTTTCACTTACCAAAAGTAGTTCTCTCTGTCCTGTGTGCAGTAAGTAGAGGCCAAGAGTTATCAGGTTGTACTCAGACTTACTTTAAAAAAAACAACTGCCTTGGCAAAGGAGTTAACGATTAAAGCATATCCATTGCACTAAAAAAGATGTCACAACAGGGTTGGACAAGTTCACATGAAGGTCAATGTCAGTTGAAATGTTTATAAGTATCTATCACATGGCAGATATCTTAGCTGATTCAGAGAAGCAAGTGGGACATGGCATATCACATGAGCTCAGAAAGTATTATCAATTGTTAGCAGAGTAGTCATGGAGCAAAGGGCAGAGAAGTTCACCAGTGCCACCAGGGCCCAGTCTTAAACATCTGGAAGAGACTAAAGTGAACCGGACTAGGAATAGGAAGAATAGGGTACAAAAACATATAAAGCTAGGGCTGGGAAGGTGGCTCAGTGGTAGAGCGCTTGCCTTGCCCTGGGTTTGATTCCTCAGCACCACATAAGCAAAAAGAAAAAAGCCGGAAGTGGCACTGTGGCTAAAGTGGTAGAATGCTAGCCTTGAGCTGAAGAGCTGAGGAACAGCACCCAGGCCCAGAGTTCAGACCCCACAAACGGACCCCCCAAAAAAACGAAAACAACAACAACAAAAAAAACATAAAGCTGGAAGTACAGAATTGGTAAATGGAAAAATCAAGGAGAAAAGAACAAAAATTATGTTGTACAGTTCAGCCAGTTACATCTAGGGCTGATGACATGGCTCAAGTGGTAGAGCATCTGCCTAGCTCTAAGGTCCTAAATTTAAAACATTATACTGTCAAGAACTGCTATTTGGTGTGTTATTTTTTGTGAATCCTCATCGCTTACTTCAGGAAAAGTGTCACTCATCAAAACTCCTTGGGGAATTATTACCATTATCATTAATATTAGACATAATTTCCTAAAAATTTAGTGTTTAGCACTAAACCCTTTAAGTACAACCTTTTAACCCTTAGAACAACCCTATCATCTTGGAAAATTCCTATTTAGAAAACTAAAGCCAAGTGATCTTGTGTAACTTGCACAGGATTCCACAAGTCAATTGAAAGCCTGATACATTACTCAATTTTGGATTTCAGGGTCAAAGAGCTCTGATCTGTATTTTCTTTCTTCCTATAGAACACTCTAGGTAGATAGTAGACAGATAGACAGATAGACAGATAGATAGATAGATAGACAGATAGATAGATAGATAGATAGATAGATAGATAGATAGATAGATAGATAGATAGATGATAGACTGATTTAATTGCTATAAAATTCAAACATTAAATGTCAAAACATACAAATTGCCAGGTGTGGTGACTTGTACTGTTAATCTTTACTATCCAGGAGGCTGAAACCTTAGTCTAAGGTCAGTCAGGGGTACATAATAAGTTCAAGGCCAGCCTAAGCTACATAGTGAGATGTTGTCTGAAAGAGATACTGACAGAGATAGAGATCTAAGTTTATAATTTCCTTAAAATAAAGCTACTATGCAAAAGTTCTCCATTTACACACAGAGCACTTCATAAATTATTTCTAATAGGAAGTGTTTTTAATTAGAACCAGTCTGTAAACTACTATAGCTTTCTAGGCAAGTACAAATATACAAATTTAATCTGTAGTGTATATAAATTATCAGTTGCCCAAATATAGTTTTTACTTTGAAGAATAAAGCATTAATACTATGAAGAAAGTACTGTGCGGGGGGGGGGGGGGGGGGGGGGGGGGGAGGGGGAGAATGAAGTAGAAGATGGAAAATAAAAGAAAGCAGGAAATAAAAAGAAAGCATTATTATTAAAATATAAAACATGCACACCTGAAATATCATGATAACATTGGTGTAATTACTATAAACTAAGAACTGATGACAGGAAAGAAAAACAGGCTCTGTTGGGTTGTGATATCAATCGAAAGGGTAGGGGGAATGGAGAGGGTAAATGAGGATGAATATGGTGTATGTAATTGTACAGAGGGGTTACAATTACATGGACAAGGTAATGAGTACATTTCTTATTAAGCAGTTGCCTCTTCTTTTGTTTCCCCTTCCTAACCCTTCCCATCTCCCTCCCACTCGCAAACCCCTCCCCCCAGTTTATTTCTACATATGAAATTTGAACAATAAACCCTGGTAAAATTCCTTTGGAAGTATTAAAGAGTTATGCCAAAGTGATCATCTGGTAAGTTTGATCGATACATTGTATACATTTATGGAAACATCACAATAGAAACCCCTTGTATAACTATATGCTAATAAAAATAAACAAAAATAGGTAAATTTTCTGAGAATCAACTGGAAACGGTGATCTGAACTATAAATTGGTTGTATAATCAAGGTCTATAAATTTCTTACTGCAATTAAAAAATCATTTTGTCAAGAAAGAAAAGAGACAGTATATGAATGACAGTTTCATGGTTTTTTCAAACTAGCCTATAGTTTGGTTTATATTTACTTTTTATTTCAATTGAGCCCCTACTGTGCTTTCCTTGTATGTATTTTTTACTCTTCATTTTTTCAGTTTTTCCTTTGTTATTTGCATGACTTTGAGCAAGTTACTAATGCCCTATATGCCTTGGTCTCCTTATCTATAAATTGAGCATAATCATAGTACCTGTGTACCTAATCCTGGGAACAAAATGACATATACATAAAACATTCAATAACTAAAAGCTCTTCCTGTTATTCTCATACTATAATAATTATGTCACAGGTTGGTGCATTCATCTGTTTTGTGTTGTCCAATATAATAGCTGATGATGAGTATTTAAAAGAAAAGTAGTTTGCTGCGTTCACATGTTTGGAGGCTGAATGTTCAATATGGAGTGGCCCACCTTGGCAGGATGTGATGGTTTGGATCTTGAATATCCTCTAGAGAGATATGAGCTAAAGACTTGGTTCTAGGATAGTATTATTGGGAGGCAGAAGATTAAGAGATAAGGCCTTGCAGGTAGTCCTTGGGTCATCGGAGGCATGCCTTCGGAGAAGATTATAAGATCTTCATCCTTTTTAAAATGCTTTTATTTCCTGACTATGTAAAGAGTAGTGTAGTTTGTCACACATACTTGTCATGATGTGCTGCTTTGTCATAGCAAACCAGTCATGGACTAGGGCCTTTAAATCTGAGACTAAATAAAACATGTTCCTTATAAGTCGAATATGTTGTGTACTTTGTTATAGTGATACAAAACTAACACAGAAAAAGAAAAAGAACCAGCCATAAACAGCAGAGTCTACACATATAAGTTGTCCTTGTTTTATAACAATCTGTTCTGAAAAACCAGTACATTCTGCTAGACCAGCAATAATACCATCTGAGAAAGGACAGTGCCTCTAGGACCTAATTACTTGTACCACATTCTACTTCTTAAACTTTCTTCCACTTCAATGTTATCAAATTGGGGACCAACTTCCCAGAACATAAATCTTTCTTTTTTCTTACATACAGATTATTTTATTGTAAAAATGGAGATGGATGCTGTTAGCATAAATGCAATTTCAAATGAGAAAAAAAATCTGATCATTACAAATAGAAATAAACATCAAACTATGTTGGTCTGAGTTTTTTTTTTTCCTGCAGACACTGATGGATACAGTGTTTTTCTTATAAGGACCTTAGAAAAATAAAAATTTTTGAATGGATCATTTTTATCTTTTTATATAATTTTTATATAATAGGCCATGAGGTGATAGGTAGACTTACTGATTTCACCTAGTTTTTTAATCAAATAAAATAATATCTGACTAGGAACTTTCCTACTAGTCATTTTAAATGAATAATCCAACCAACTTCTATGTGCAACTACGTGTTTCAGTTAAATGATCTGTAATCCCTAACCTTTATTTTTCCCCTAGGGAAACAGCATTAAAAGCCATTGCTGCATTATTGCTAGAGAAACCTGGATTATCATTTTAAAGACATTAGCTTTTGGGTGTGCATCTTAACACTGGAGAACCTTCCAACCAGCGGTGATCGGATGACAGGTGAAAGTTGGGCTTTTCCCAGGCAGGGCTCTGCCAGGGAGGAGGCCCAGAGCTCACAGTTAGATTTCTCCTTTGCAGCCAAGTGAGACCCGCCTATGTATAGGTGTGAATGGTGTTCTTAGACTTCTCAGTGTTGTACTTGTCCAAAAGAACCTGGATTCGGGCCCCATAGTCAGGGTGGACATCAGTGAAGTTCTTCACCACTTTCTTCTGGATGAAAAGTTGATGATCAGCAATGTTCTCACACAGGCACTTCCTCTCCTCTTCACTTAGCACTTTTGTATAGAAAGCCCTCACCTGAGTGACATTATCTTCGTTGGCACTGTTGAAGTGCTTCACATCCATAGAGCACTGGGTGTTGTGCTCCAGAACTGAGCACTGCTCCTGAGGAGCGCTGAAGCTGTTGGGGCAGTCATTTGGAGCACTACCCTGATTGTCATACATGCACATGGGGCCATCACGCTGGTAGTTGGTGACTCTAGCACGGTAGGGACAGCTCACAGGTATCTGAAAACAGTTGGGTTCCAGGCGGTGATGTGTCAGGATAGGAAAAAAGGCCACCCTGCAGCATTTTGTCAGGGCTGGGCTCAATTCCAGGTGGCACGTTGCTTGGATCAAATGCTATCTGCTCCACTACAGCAAAGTAATTAACTGGATTTCAGTTTAAGACCAGTTTGCCAACTGGGATAGGAGGGTAGTAATGGTGAGGCCAAATCTTGGTGAGATCAAATGGATTAAATGGAAAAGTTTCTGCCTGCTTAAAGGTCATAACCTGAATGTAGAAAGTCCAGGAGAGATAGTTGCCTTTAGCAATGGCATTGAAAAGATCTCGAAGGCCAGAGTCAGGATCTTCCTGGGAAAGTCTTGCTGCATCTTCAACAGAGAGGTTTTTAATGCCCTGGTCAGTCTTGTAATAGAATTTGCAGTAAATTGCCTCTCCATTGACATTAACCAGCTTGAAAGTATGTGATCCATGTCCATTCATGTGCCGAAGTCCATCTGGAATCCCTTGGTCACTGAACAAGAAAGAAACCTGATGCAAAGACTCAGCGCGTAGGCTCCAGAAATCCCAGACCATGTCAGGATCCTTCAGGTATGTCTGAGGATTTCTCTTCTGGCTATGAATGAAGGATGGAAACAAGATGGCATTCCTGATGAAGAAAATGGGGGTGTTATTTCCAACAAGATCCCAGTTCCCATCATCAGTATAAAACTTCAGTGCAAAGCCACGAGGGTCACAAACTGTCAGCTGAGCCAGACTCTCCAGCAACAGTTGAAAATCGAACAGCAATGGGAGTCTCTTCCCAATATGCTCAAACACCTTGGCCTTGTAGTATCTGGTGATGTCATGTGTGACCTCAAAGTAGCCAAAGGCACCTGCTCCTTTAGCATGCACGACTCTCTCAGGAATTCTGTATCGAAATGCATCATTTCATCAGTAAAAACCACATTCTGAACATAAATCTTTTTTTAATGTTTCTTAAGTCCAATTTTTGGTTGTTTTTGGTTAGGTTTTCTTTTTAAATTTTTAATTGCTATTATAAAAGTAATGTACATAAGGAACATTCAACTTTATAAGTCAGGTAATAAGTACATTTTTTTTGGACAATGATACCCTTCCTTTGCCTAGAAGGCGAATCTTAAGGGGACACACTCAAATATTCACATTATAGCTAATCTAGTGGGTTAACATCTTCCCCCCACCCCCCTACAAAACTTTTGAGGATGATGAGCCTGAAAACTATTTAGGATGTGTTCCTTGGAAAATAAGGGAGTGGTAGGATGGAACAAAGAAGGAAAAGAGCCAAAGCAAGGGTGCATTTTCCAACTTCACTGAGGCTCAGAGGGGAAACAGGAGACAGAGTTGTCCCAATCAGAGGTTAAGAGAGCTAAAGAATATTTTACCTGGACTGGGAAGGTGGCTGAGTGGTAGAGCACTTGCCTCGCATGCATGAGGCCCTGGGTTCCATTCATCAGTACCACATAAGCAAAAAGAAAAAAGCCAGAAGTGGCGTTGTGGTTCAAGTGGTAGAGCGCTAGCCTTGAGCTGAAGAGCTGAGGGACAGCGCCCAGGCCCAGAGTTCAGGCCCCATGACCGGACCCCAAAAAAAAAAAAAAAAAAAAAAATATATATATATATATATATATATATTACCCGTAGTCAAGTCATTTAGTTAAGATGGGACAGGCTTATTTCCCAGGTACTTAATCTCTGAGTGAGTGAGTGTGTGTGTGTGTGTGTGTGTGTGGTGAGTTCCAGAATCTTCAGAGCATTCCCACCAAAAAAAAAAAAAAAAAAGAAATCCAAGGAGGTAAGTCAGAGTACTAATGATGTCTGCTACAGTATTATCATCATCAACAACCATAAAACACACAAGTGGAACATTAGGTCATTAGACATTGGCAATTTATATGGAAAAACAGTTGTAAAATTTAGCTCCTGCCCTCTGTACCTTAGAATCCTACTAAAAAGCCAGGATAAACACACAAATATAAAAGTTGTATGCTAAGTACCAAACAAGTGCAAACAAAGAACATACTATTCATTATTAGGTGATAAAGAAAAGATTCTGCAAATACTGTTGGATTTGAAATCCAGTTGGATTTCAAAGAGTAGGTATAATTTAGAAAGAAGAAAAGAATTGTTGGTGGGGAATGCAATGGAATAATAACTGTTGTAGGGAATGCAATATTTGTTTTACTAAGTCAGATAGGTTCTCAACTCTGAATGCACATTAGACCCATCTGAGGACTTTGGACATCCCACTCCTTACTTCCAACCAGAACTCTTACATTAGGATTGCTGGTTTCAGATCCGACCATTTAACTATTTAATCCATTTTAAGTTAATAATTGTATATAGCATAAAACAAGGGTCCAATTTAATTATTTTTGTATGTGTATATGCAGTTTTCCAAGCACCATTTGTTGAAGAGAATTTCCTTTCCCTTTGTTTTTTTTCTTGGTGCCATTATCAGTTAGTTGACCTATGTGTGGGTTATTTCTGAGCTCTTTATTGTGTTTCATAGGTCTGTGTCTATACCCATCGTGCTAGTACCATACTGATTTTATTTCCAGAGCTTTGCAATATAGCTAATGTCAACTTTATTTTACTGCCTTCAGATTTATTCCTCTTCATTAAGATTTCTTTGGGCCTGCATAAGAACAATACAAACAGTGGTTTATCTTCTGTAATAGCTTATGAACCCAAGTGTCTTCACACAAAGTATCTCAAACACCATAATCAAATATTTATTAGCTTGCCAACCCCTATATCATCACTCAATCATCACCCCATTTTACCAAAACAATGGGAAACTACCAACAGAAAGTGCAAAGGAAATTGAAATCTGAGTAAATCCTGGACCCAGATGTGAACAAAGAAGGACTCAAGTGAGAGTAAAGAAGGAAAAAGTCTTAAGAATGGGTCCACTATGATAAGATTAGTTAATGAAAACAAAGAACAGATGCTTAAAAATTTGGAAGAATTCAAAGAAAATTACAACAAACACCAAGAGAATAGAACAAACCAGGGAAATCAAACAAACGAGATAGAAACAGCTGAATAAAATAAAGAAGGAAATACAGATATGAGAGAAGAATTCAATAAGGAGATGAAAACCTTGGGGAAAAAACAAAGTGAAATCCTGAGAATGAAGAGCTCAATTCCTCAACTAAAAACTCAATTGAAAATCTGGTTAATAGAATGGAAGAAGTTAAAATAAGGCTGCAAAGGTTGAAGATAAAACAGAGGTGTTGAATCAAAGAGCCAAAGATATAGAAAACAAATACGTATACAAAGAACAACAAGTTATTGGGCTCAATAAGAAAGAAAACAAATGAAAAATAAAGGCCCCGGGAACCTATTCAACACAAACAATTGCAGAAATCTTCCTCAAAAAAAAAGAAGAGTCTAATCCATGTGACAGAGGTATACAGAACTCCATATAAGCACATTAAGAATAGAAACAACCCAAGACACATCAATCTGAATAGCAAAGAAAGACTATTGAATGCTGACTAAGAAAGGAAACAAGTAACTTCCAATGTCAAACCCATTAGAATAATTGCAGATTTCTTAACAGAAACTAAAGGCAAGGAAGGCATGTAAAGATTGAATGTCTTTCCAGTGTTTTTTTCAAGACTGAATGTTGATTGAATTTTCATTCAAGCTCTGAATGACAATACTTGCCAGTCTAGACTGCTTTATCCAGCTAACTAGCTAATAAAATTGATGGAGAAATAAAAACCTTCAACAATAAACAAAAGCTAAAGGAATTTATTACTACTAAACAACCACCACAAAAGAGACTTAAGGGAATCCTACCTACAGAGGAAGAAAATTAATAGCAGAAAATGCCAGAAAGAATAAACTCTACTAGAAAAGTAGATCAGCAAAGCAAAAAAAGGGAAAAGACAAGTAACACAAAAACAACACAATGACAGCAAATACGGTACACCTCTAAATATTAATATTGAATATTCATGGTTTTAACTCTTCAATTAAAACATTCAACATAAAAAAACAAGATCTAGGATATGGGGGAGGGGACACAGAAATGGAAGGAAGGAAGGTGAATATGATACTCACTAGGCACTATGTTGAAAATGAACTATACAACTTGCAGGTGGGGATGGAGGGAAAAACAGAGTGACAGAAAGAGTGACATTGTCCAAAGAAAGAAATGTACATTTTACTTGACTTATGTAACCGTAACCCCTTTGTACTTTGTTTTTATAATAACAATAACAAGTTTAATTAAAATAATTTATACAGACTGGGCTCTAGTGGCTCCGTGTCTGTAATCCTAACTACTCAGGAAGCTGAAATCTGAGGATCATGGTTTGAGGCCAGCCCAGGCAGGAAAGTCTGATTATGATTCCCCATAAATTACTCAGAAAAAGTCAGAAGTGGTGCTGTAGCTCAAGTGGGAGAGCACTAGCCTTGAGTAAAGAAGGTCAGGGACAACACTCATGCCCTGAGTTTAAGCCCCAGGACCAGCAAAAACAAAACAACAACAAAACACAACAGTTTATAGAGAAAGAAAAGATCCAACAATTTGTTGTCTAAATGAAATATATTTCACTGACAAGGATGTTCACAGGATTAGGATTAATGAATGGAAAGATCTTTCAAATAAATGGACCCCAAAAGCAGACAAGAATAGCTATACTTACATATGATGAAATAGATGTCATGTTAAAAATCATTCAGAAAAGACAAGGTCATTACATATTTAAAAAAGAAAAAATTACAGTTACTAGCATATATTTATCAAATAGCAATATACTGAATTCATTAAGCAAACACTTCTGGACTTATACCTGCTGATAGACCTTGGCACAATAATACTGAGGGAATTTAACACCCCACTCTGAGCAAAAGATAGATCATTCAAACAAAAATTTAATTTAAAAAAACCCTTTGAATTAAATGGAATCATAGACTGAATGGACTTAATAGACATCTACAACATATTTAACCCAGTGACAGAAAAAAACACATTTTTCTCAGAATCTTAAGGAACTTTCTCCAAAATAAATCACCAGTCTAGGACATACAGCAAATCTAAGCAAATATAGGAAACTTAAATAATTCCTTGTATTCTACAGAGCATAGAGGAATTGAACAAGATCTCACAGCAAAGGATATTTCAGAAAATATTCAAGCACATAGATGGAACAACATGCTGTTGAATGACCTACGGATCATTGAAAAAATAAGGGGAGAAATGAAAAAGTTATGAAAAATGAAATAATGAAAATAAAAATGCATCCTGCCAGAATCTCTGGGAAACAGCAAAGAGAGTATTGAGAGGAAAATTTATAGCCATATGTGCCTATTTCCAAAAATCAGAAAGCACTCAGCCTTCTGATGCAATTAAAACTTCTGGAAAATAAGAGCAAACCCATTGCAAATAGATGGAAATAAATAGCAGAAATTAGGACAGAAATTAATGAATTGGAGGCTTAAATCTATAAAAAAAAAAAAAGTAAAACAAAAGTTGCTTCTTTGAAAAAGTAAATAACATTACTAAACTCTAAGGTAATTTTACAAAAAGAAAAAGGAGACTCAAATCAATAAAATGTAAGATAAAAAGAGGACTACTATGGCATACCAAAGAAATCAAAATGATCAGGACAGAATTTGTTTAAAGGCTACACTCAAATAAGCTAAAAAATTTTAAGTAATGAATACATTTTTTAAACTGAAGGTTATAAGCCATTTAAGCATACCTGTAACAAGGAATGAAATTGAAGAATCAATAAAATGTCTTCTAACAAACAAGTGCCCATGGCTTTATAGAAAATTCTACTAGAACTTCTAAGAAGGACTAATACCAATATTTCTCAAACTCTTCCATGAAATAGAAAAGAAGAAACACAACTGAAGCAAGCATTATACTCAATTCAAACCAGAGATGTAACAATGGAAAAAAGAAGTGATAGAT